GCACAGCAGATGAGGGGACAACTTTGAGAAGGGGGACAGTCAATGTAGGACTGAGGGTGTTGTACTTAAATGCATGCAGTGTACAACATAAGGTAACTGAGCTTGTAGCGCAGATTGAAATCGGCAGATACGATGTTGTGACTATCTCAGAAACGTGGCTGCAAGGCAGTCAGGGCTGGGAATTAAATATCCATGTGTGTCCTTGGATATTTAATGGCCAGATGGCCAGAATGGGCAGGATTGCATCGTTAGTAAGAAATGAAATTAAATCGATAGCAAGAAGGGATGTGAAGTCATAAGGCGTAGAATCTGTGTGGGTAGAGTTGAGGAACCGCAAAGGCTAAAATGACCCTGATAGGAATTGTGTACAGGCCTCCTAACAGTAGTCAGGACGTGGGGAAGAAAACAAACCAGGAGATAGAAAAGGCATGTAGGAAAGGCACTGTCACGTTATCTTGGGGCACTTCAACATGCAGGTGAACTGGGAAAATCAGGTTGGTAGTGAATCTCAAGAAATGGAATTTGTAGCATGTCTAGGGTGGCAGAATGGTTCAGTGGTTAGCACTGCTGCCTCATGGGACCCGGGTTCAATTCCACCATCAGGCAGCTGTCTGTGTGGAGTTTGCACATTCTCCCTGTGTCTGCGTGGGTTTCCTCCGGGTGCTCTGGTTTCCTCCCACAGTCCAAAGATATGCAGGCTAGGTGGATTGGCCATGCAAAAATTCAGGAATGTGTTGGTTAGGTGCGTTAGCCATGGGAAATGTAGGGTTACAGGGAAAGGTTGGGGGGATAGGTCTGGGTGGGATGCTGTTTGGAGGGTTGGTGTGGACTTGTTGGGCCAAATGGCTTGTTTCCACACTATACAGATTCTAAAAAAGTTTTTTTGGAGCAGCTTATGGTAGATTCCACTAGGGAACAGGGAATTCTGGATTTGGTGATTTGTAAGTAGGCAGGCTTGATTAGGCAGCTTAAAGTGAAGTGGGTGGTGACCATTATTTGATAGAATTCAACCTGCAGTTTGAGAGGGAAAAATTGGAATCAGATGTAACGGTATTACACTTGACTAGAGGTAACCACAAAGACTTGAGGGAGGAGCTGATCAGAATTGATTGGAAGGAGATCGTAGCAGGGAAGATAGTAGGGCAGCTTTGGCAGGAGTTTCTAGGGGTAATTCAAGAGGTACATCAAAAATTAATTTGAAGGAAGAAGAACCATACTGAAGAGAGGACAACACAACTATGGCTGACAAGAGAAGGCAGGGACAGTATAAAAGCAAAAGAAGAAAGTATATAATGTTGTGAAGATTATTGGGAAGTTGGAGGTTTTGGAAGCCTTTAAAGAACATCAAAGAATAACTAGAAAAGCATTAATTGGGGAGAAGATGAAATATCAGAGCTATCTGGTATTCTAAAAGAAGATTTCAAGAGTTATTCAGATATATTAAAGGTAAGGGAGAGATAAGACTGGACACTGAAGATGAGACTGGAGAAGTAATAATGGGGTGCAAAGAAACAGCAGACGAACTGAACAGGTACTTTGCATCGGTTTTCACAGTGCAAGACACCAGCGGAATACCAGAACTTCAAGAGAGTCAGAGGTTGGAGGTGAGTGTCGTGGCCATCTCTAAGGAGAAGGTGCTACAGAAGCTGAAAGGTCTGAAGGTGGATTCATAAACCAGACCAAAAGGACGACACCCCTTAGTTCTGAAGGAGATGGCTGAGGACATTGTCGAGGCATAGGTGGTGATCTTTCAGAAATCACTGGAGTAAGGGAGGATGCCAGAGGAATGGAAAATCGCTATCCTAACACTCTTGTTTAAGAAGGGAGGGAGGCAGAAGACATGAAGCTATAGACCAGTTAGCCTGAATTCAGTTGATGGTAAGATTTTGGAGTCCATTATTAAGGATGAGATTGCAGAGCACTTAGAAGTGCGTGGTAAAATAGGGCTGAGACAGCACAGCTTCTCCAAGGGGATGTCATGTCTCACAAATCTGCTAGAATTCTTTGAGGAGGCAACAAGCAAGCTAGACAAAGGAGAGCCAATGGGTCCGATCTATTGGATTTCCAGTAGGCCTTTGACAAGGTGCCACCCAGGAGGCAGCTAAATAAGATATGTGCCCATAGTGATAGGGGCAAGGTACTAGCATGGGTAGAGGATTGGCAGAAGACGGAAAGTAGGCTTAAAGGGCTCTATTTCAGGTTTGCAACTGGTGAGTAGTGGAGATCTTCAGGTGCAGTGTTGGGACCACAACTATTAACCATCTGGACAAAGAAACTGAGGGTATTGTTGCTAAATTTGTGGATGACACAGAAATAGACAGAGGGACGGGTAGTGTTGAGGAAATGGGGAGGCTGCAAAAAGACTTGGACAGGTTAGGAGAGTGGGCAAAGAAGGGGCAGATGGAATACAATCTAGAAAAGTATGAGGTTATACACTATGGTAGGTAGAGTGGAGGCATAGACTATTTTCTAAACAGGGAAAAAGCACTTGGGAGTCCTACTTAAGGTTAACATGCAGGTTCAGTTGGCATTTAAGAAGGCAAATGCAATGTTAGCTTTCATTTCAAGTGGTCTAGAATACAAATGCAGAGATGTATACAGTATCTGAGGTTGCAAAAGGCTCTGGTCAGACTGCATTTGGAATATTGTGAGCAGTTTTGGGTCTCGTATCTAAGAAAAGATGTTCAGCCATTGAAAGGGGTCTGGAAGGGGTTCACAAGAATGATCCCTGGAATGAAAGGCTTGTCCTATGAGGAGTGGTTGAGGACTCTGGGTCTGTCCATGATGGAGTTTGGAAGGTTGTTTGAAAATTACAGAATACTGAGAGGCCTGGATAGAGCAGGCGTGGAGAAGATGTTTCCACTAGTAGGAAAGAGTAGGAGCCAAGGGCATAGCTTCAGAGTGAATGAACAACTGTTTAGAACTGAGATGAGGAGGAATTTCTTCAGCCAGAGGACAGTTAATCTGTGGGACTTATTGCTGCAGAGGGCAGTGGAGGCCAAGTCATTTAGGGTATTTAAGACAAAGATAGATAGGCTCTTGATTTGTAAGGAGATCAAGGGTTATGGGGAGAAGGCGGGAGAATGGGTTGAGAATTATACCAGTCACGATCAAGTGGCAGAACAGACTCTGTGGGCCGAATGGCCTAATTCTGCTCCATATCTTATGGTTTTATGGCCTTCCGAATTGCTTGGTGTACCTGCATGAAAACATATTGCACTCCTTGTGCAAGTACACTCAGGTTTCTCTGAACATTAACATTTATGAATTCATACCTTCTAAAACATTCTCTTTTTTCTATTCTGATGGTAGAAGTAAACAGCTTTGCACTTCCCTGCATTATACTACATCTGCCATTTTTTTGCCTACTCACTTAACTGTCTATATGCGTTTGCACCTCTATGCTTTCCCCATATCTTAACTTTGCACTTAGCTTTTCATCTTAGCAGACTTAGATACATTACTCTTCGTCTAAGTTATCAATATAGATTGCAAGTAGTTGAGGTACCAGCACTGATCCTTCTAGAATACCACTTGTCACTGTGTGCCAATTTGAAAATGCCCTATTTATGCCTATGCTTTGTTTCCTGTCAGTTCAGTAAACCTCTGCCCATGCCAATCCATTACCCCTTACTTCAGGAGCTTTATCTTGCCTATTAATTCTTCATGTGGCACCTGATTTATTACATTTTGGGAATCCAAGTATGTGACATCTACTGGTTGCCCTTCATCAACCCTACAGTTTACATCCTGAAAAAAACCTCAATATATTTATCAAATATGATGTCCCTTCCATAAAACCAGCATCACTTTCTCTTTTCATACTGTGTTTTTTTTTTAGAAAGTGTATTGTTAAATCTTCCTTACTAACAGATTCCAGTACTTTCTCAATGATATGACAATCCTACTGGCCTATGTTCCCTATTTTCTCCCTCCCTCCTTTTGTTAAGCCATGGGGCTTCATTTTCCATCTTTCCATCGACCGAGATGGTTCCAGAATCTAGGGAATTTTGGAAAATTATAGCCAGTGCATCCACTATCTCCAGGAAACCTTTTGCTGTTAATAAGGTAAAGTGAATCGTCAGTAGTACAGTGGCAGAAGGTGGGTTTGCCGATTAGCAATCTTCCCACTTAATTTTAATTCTTTTTAATTAGGGCGGAGAAGCACATCCCCTACCACCAATACTATCATACTAATATTTGGAAGCTGATCATGGAGTTATTAATTAACCACAGTGACCAATCTCAATCAACCCATGAATAATGTACTCAGAAAGGAGGTGTATGCAATGTAAGGGGGCTTAGATGAAGAATGAAGGAGAGTCCTATTTTCAAAAGTGATGATGTCGATAACCAGGTGATGTAGATGTAAACTAGTTGCTGGAAGGAGTGCTCTCCTGGTGCAGTGGTACGTCCCTAACTCTGGTCTAGGAGGCCCAGGTTCAAGACCCACTTGCTCCAGAAGCGTGTGATAACATCCCTGAATAAGCCGATTAGGAAATATGGGTGGTTTAGAAAGAAGTTGAGGTGGATTATTTTCACCCAGAGTGTAGTGGAGATCGAGAACTCACTGCCTGAAAGACCAAAATCCTCACCACATTTAATGAATACTTGGATAAGCACTTCATAACCTGCAGGACTGCAACCCAAGAGCGGGAGTGCCTAATAAGGGCTGGGGATAGCTGTTCTCAGCCACAAATGACGTTGAGGGCTCGAACTTTGTGATTCTAGGTAAGGGGCAGTGGGGAACCGACAGGATACCTCCTGTGTGCTCTATGCCCTAAATTACAGCTTCCCTGTGCGACCCCTTTCAGCTGCTGTTGTCATGAACGTGTTTGTGGATTTCGGTGTAATCCCTGGGAGAAGGTGTAGGCATTGCTGTCACTCATAGCCAATGGCGTGGTGCGTGAAAGCAAATGGGCTGAAAGGTTTTGACGTGCACAGCAGTGCTTTTGTAAATATTATGGTTGTGTTAAACCCATTACTGTGCTTCATTGCAGTTGCCTTGAAGAACCACAGCTGTAACAAGATTGCCGACGGAAGCGGTAACCACGGCAACAGGAAAGGGTTGGGATTGGCGGACGGTGTCCTGCCAGAGGGAGAGCTTTTATTGCAGGTCAGTGCTTTAGGCTAGATAGCTGGTATGTCCTGTTTAATGCTGAGCTATACTCCGTCCTCTTGTTCCCCTTGTATTAAGGAGAATAAATCTTTTTGAAGAACTCTTGAGTGTAAAGGTCACCGTAACATGACACTAATGGAATTTTTCAGCAAGTTCTTATATGCTCTGCTTATTTTCAGAACGCAAGGAAAAGAAACTGAGTTTCCAACGTGCAAGATAAGTAGATATAACGGAGGAAGCTGGCAGCAGCACAAATGGAGCCTGGGTTCACTCAAGACGTGATTGATTCTGTCAGTTGTACATTTAGCGAGCTAAGAGCACCCGCCAACAGGTTCATCAGGGTGCCTGAGTGACCCTC